GATACACATTCTAAAATATGAGACATTTTGTTGTTATTAGGTGCTTACTTCCTCTGACATGTTGTTGTTGTGTCCCATGGAGTCGGAAGTAATTCATAGCTGATCTCTGAAAACCTACTGGGTTTTCAGAGACAATTAATTAACTTAGAGAGAGATTATGCTTCTTTCTCCCATGCAGAAGCTGGTGGATTTGAACCTCATCCTTTAGGATTAACAGTACAACTCCTTACCACTAAGCCACTAGGAGCTCCCTATCTTGGACATAATTAAGTCCATTTTTATAGTCACTGTGTCAATTCATCTTGTTGAAGGTGTTCTTTTTAGCTGACTCTCCACCTTTCCAAGCATGATGATTGTTTCAAATCACTATGAGTTGGTTCTGACCCAAGAGCACATAGCAATAACACAAACAAAGTGACTCAAGTATGTGAGACAATATTTCACTGTCCTTGTCTCTAGGGAGCACCTTGGTTGCATTTTCTCCAAGACTTGTTCCTTTGGCAGTCCATTCACTAGTTTTCTCCAATACCACAATTCAAACACAACTTTACATGCATAAAATGAGGCATTTTAAGTAACTCTAAAGTTCTTTTTGGAGTACTGAGTGGTGTAAACCGTTAGCATGCTTGTCTATTAGTCTAAAGGTTGGTAGTTCAAGTTCACCTGAAGGCTCTCATTCTTTACCTTCAAAAAGAAGTCATTAAAAACCCTGAGAAGAGCAGTGGTAAAATCTGATCAATGGGAGTCTTAATATCTCACACACTCTTGTTAATTTCCCTCTGGGGTTAAGAACCTATAACAAGGAACAGCATCCTGTTGAACTTGTGGATAGGGCTAGGTTGTCATTATATTTATTTTTAGCATTTACTTATGCAAAGTGAAATTGGTTTGCCGTTTGAAGTCACATGTGAAATTTCTGGTGGGAAGCAAAACCAAATGTGACACAATTTCAAGTTGGTTTTTAAAAATTACTCATTTTTCATTTGAGTGAAGGCATAGACATTTTGTTTTATAACATTAATTATCACTAATTAAATTCATTAATTACAATGTCTCATCAACCCTCATTGTGTAGTGCCTTTCCCTTCACCCAATTTATTGCTTTATTAAATTTTACTTCTCTTCCCCTCCCTTCCCATTCCTGTTAACTGCCAAGATTGATTGCTTCTGTATGTAAACCTTTCCTTAGCTTTTTATGAGTGGCCTTAGACCCTAATTGTCCTTTTTTGACTGACATATAATGTCACTCAGTTGTATTTCCTTTAGATTCATTTATGTTGTGCAGTATTTCATGAATTCTTTTTTTTTTTTTTTTTGGTATTTCACGAATTCTTACATTGTGTCTTATACAATTAATAACCATTGATCTATGACTACCATCACCTGGTCTTTTCAGATCTCCACTGGATCTTTCCTAATTCCTTCACGCCCTCCCTCCACCCAGCAAGGTCTGTGACTCCTTGATTCCTCTACTCCTCATTCTCCATTCCTGCCCTCTCCTCTTTCCTTTTTGGATATTAGTTATTTTGAACAAGGAGATCGTAACAAAGAATCACAAGGCAGGGCCCAAAGCAAACCTCTAAGTCTGAGGACAGTGAAAAACAGGCTGGTTAGGTCAACGTCCCTAGCATTCCACATCTGATGCAATTTTAATCACCGACGCTTACTATGATTCACACACATTTGGAAGCAAAAGCAGAACAGGGAAACCTAAGAAGGGATTATGTGCTAAACAAGATCCCCTTGGACAGCGATTTCCTGTCACAATACCCAGATGATAAGGAACAGGAAGTGTAGCCTAATATAACTTGACAGCAGGACTTTAGGGAAGTTCTTACCCAGAATGTGGGAGGAATAAAGACATGGAGTAAAGGGAAAAAAGGGGGTTGGGGTTTTGGAAAAAAAAAGTTACGTAAATCCAAGCCGTCGGAGTGGGGAACATCTGAATCTCAGGGCATGTGACTTCTCCCACCACCTGTGGTTGAGAGGGCAGGAAGTAAAGTGTGTGTATTCACATTGCGTCACTTGTCCTTGACGTGCACAGCCTGGGTGACCTGTCCTAGATCCGAGAATTACAGCCTGCTGCTTACATCATCCTCCCTACCCGTATAAAGGCAATGAATTAGAAAGTCAGAAGTTGCCCTTTAAAGTACCTTCTTTATTATTCTGTGCCCATTTTTCCATTGGATTGTTTACTTTTATCTTGTTGTGGTGCTCAAGTATTTATTTTATAAATTCTAGATATAAGTCCCTTATCAAACATGTCATTATCAAATACTTTTCCCCAGTCTGTGGCTTCCCTTTTTACCCTGTTAGAGAAGTTTTTGTGTGTGCACTAAGGTGCATCTGATACAGGCCATGGTCTTTGCAATCACTTTTTATGCGTCAGAGAGTTGGATAATGACTAGGGAGGATAGAAAGTGAATTGAGGCCTTTGAGCTGTGGTGCTGGAGAAGAGTATTGAATACACCATGGGCTGCTAAGAAAACAAACAGGTTCATCCCTGGAGAGGGTTAAACCGGGTTGCTCCTTGGAGGCAAGTATTCTGAGGCTTCGCCTGACATACTTTGAACATGTTATAAGGAGGGACGGGTTTTTGGAGAGGGACATCATGCTTGGGAGGGTGGAGGGACAGCGCAGGAGGGTAAGACCCTCTATGAGGTGGATTGATTCAGTGACTGGGGTAATCGGGATGGGTGTGTTGGAGACAGTGCGATTGGCACAGGACAGAGCAGAGTTTAGGGCTGTTGTACATAGGGTCACTATGAGTAACAAGAGACTTAATCGCACATAACAACAACAACAACAACAACATAGGGATTTGATTCTTAGAAGGTCCCATTCATCTATTTTAGCTTCTCCTGGTTATAGATTTTTTCAGGATGCTTGGAAGACTGTTTATGTTGTGGATTAGGACTACTAGAGTTCTTCCAAGCTTTTCTTTTATGAAGTTTATAGTCCTTGGTTTTAGTCCTAGTTCCATGATCCACCTAGAGTTGGTTTTTGTATATGGAGTGATGTGTGGATCTTGCTTTAGTCTTCTGCAGACAGTTTTCCAATTTTGCCAACAGCACTTGTTTAAAAGGCTGTCATTTCCCCACTTAACTGATTTAATCTCCTGTCAAAAATATCTCAGTCACAAAAACAACAAATGCTGCATAGTGCCACCGTTGTAAAACAAGACTGACACCGGGGTTGGGGGGAGACTGAGAAATATGGGATAAATAATGTATACTGCATTGGAACAGATGAGGGAGAAAACTGTTTAAAAGGGATATGTGATTAGCTATTATTGTCATGACAGGAGTCTAGAGCGAAGGCTGCATAGTGGAGTGGACCTGAGGAGAGGGATTGTATAACAATGAAAGAATTTTTCTTTTCAAAGAGAAGAGCAACCTTGGGGTGGGGGTGGGGGAACAGGGAGAAAAGTGCAACAATGAATGAATGGAAATCCTCAGTCTCTGTAAACTTTCATTAAAATTAATAATAATAAAAAAGTACCTTCTTTATTAAAGTACAAAATAAAGAAATAAAAGATTAAAGAAAACCATTAAGCATGGAAGAATCCCAAGAATGCTGGTGGCCCAATAGTTAAGTGCTTGACTATTTGCCAGATCGTTGGCAGTCTGAGCCCACACAATGGTTCTATGAGTGAAGAGACCTGGCGACTTGCTTCTGACAAGATGACAACCCAGAAAACACCCAGGTGGTAGTGCTGTTTTCACATTAAGTCGCCATGAGTGAATTCAGCTCCATGATGTTCAACAAAAATAACCACACAGAATAATTGAGGAAGCACTGTGCCCCTTCTCCTCCTTTCTGTTCTGTATTCTTTTTTGTGTGTTATGGCCCAGGACTGTTTGGGACATATCAATATGCATTTTTGCTTCTGGCTTTCGTGTGTATGTGTGTGTGTGTGTGTGTGTCTGTGCGCACGTGTGTGTGTGTCTCAATGGGGAGCACCAGCAGAAGTGAGGGAAGAAGTGAGTAGAGACAGAATCTATTTTTCTGGCTCTCTCCCTGTAGGATGTTGGCAAGTGAGCTTTGTCTCTTGTCTGAAGGGAGACAGTCCTACCTATCCGGGTTCTATACTCCAGTCTCTACTTCTGCTAATCCCAGATTGTAATTTCCCACCATCCCTTACTAATACCTTTTTAGATAACACTTCAAGGGAGCTCTGGTGGCCTAGTCCATACAGGGTTGCATTAATTACCCAAAGGTCACCCTTCTCTGGCAGTTAAAATCCACCAGCCACTCTGCGGGAGAACAATAGGTCATCTCCTCCAGTGCGATTTACAACTTCTGAAAATCTGCTGGAGGGTCAGCTATGAGTTGGCTCCAACTTGACAGCATTGAGAGACTTCAGTACAAAAGACCCAACATCCACCAGGTTTTGGCTTCCGGCCCCTCCCCCCACCCCTGCTATCTCACAGAAAGTAAATCACATTTTATGTACATATTGGAATTTTATTTCAATAAAACAAACAATTCAGATATTCCATGGAGTTTTGGCTTTTTTATAAAATTGAAGATTTCTCCTCATACACTTCTATTGAATATTAGGTACAAATGCCCTGGGATATGGAGCAGTTAAATGTTAATAGTAAAGTGGAAATGATGTTTCTGTAAGGCTTTTCAAAAGGGCCATAGAGATCAAGCTTGCAAAATAAGTTCTCATTTTCCTCCAGGATTATAATTATAGGGTAGCAGTAGGACCAGTCCTTGGAGAAGGACGTCATGCTTGGAAGGGTGGAAGGTCAGCTCGGGAGAGGAAGACCCCAGAATGAGATAGATTGACATAGTAATTGGGGTAATAGGTAAGTGTGTCAGAGACAGTGAGGTTGGCTCAGATTAGGACAGAGTTCAGAGCTATAGTTCTTAGGGTCATAGTCTATGAGTCGCAGTTGACTTGACAGCACATAACAACAATTAAGAGTTTGGTTTTCTTCTATAGTAGCAATGGAGATCCACGGCTGTGTGTTGCACCCAGGTTGATCCTACTAACAGGCTATTTTCAGGTCATGAGAAGCAGTCACACCTGCTTGCAACTGCACTAACGGTAAGCAGACCACTTTTTCTCTGCAAAAGAAAAAAAGCAATAACAGATAGGAGTTTAGGCCAGGTGTTTGGTTGGTCAGAGAAGGATTTTGAGCTGTGTGCTCATGCATAAGCAGTTTGCCCACCCTTCACCCGTGGAGCAGCTGGCGGATTCAAACCATGTGCCTTTGGGAGTACAGCACAGCTTCTTGCCACCAGAGCTCCCTCCTGATGTCTAGTCAGAGAAATCTAGAATAGGAGTCAACTCCTGGCCCCTAGGTACCCAGGAGTGATGGTAAGACTAAGAGTTTAAATATCAGCTAATTATAGTGTGAGGGAGCTCTGTGACATAGTCTGTGGGGAGTTGCACTGCTGGCCCAAATGTCAAGCCTCTGAAGTGGTTCAAATCCGCCTGACTCTCTATGGGAGAAAGATATGCAATCTCTCACCGTGCAGTTTACAGACTCAGAAGCCAGCTGGAGGGTCAGCTATCAGTTGGTTCTGACTCAACAGCAATCACGTTTGACCAAATTACAGGATGTGGATGCCCGTTCCATACCATGAATGTGATTAGTGACACATCTACAGTGGAGGTCAATGTGCAAGGTATATGCCAAGAGAAATTGTTGCTCAATAACATCTTACATAGAAATGAAACACATAAAATAGATTGTTGTTGTAGCTGACCCTCCAGCAGGTTTGCAGAGGCAGTTAATCACATGAGAAGGGATTGCAGTGCAGCTTCTTGTCACTAGGCCACCAGAGCTCCTAAAATAGGTTGGATTTTTCTATATTGAAGTGGGCAAGGAAAGTTAAAGTCTACTCCAACCTCACATCTCAAGTTGGCTCTTTTCCTAGCATCTCAAAAAAAAGACGGCTCTGCAGGGGGGCTCAGGAAGGAATGGTGAAACCACATAGTCACCTTAACCTCGCTCATCTCTTTCATCTCTGCTTCTAGGAAACTAATAATCACGGTTGACTTCAGTGAATAACACATCCATGTCAAACCTGGTCCTTGACGCATGTTTGGGAGGGGTTAGGCATTGGGAACTGTCTTGTATCTGGGGTGTACCTGTTATTGATGGGCAGAGGGCCTGTGCAGAGCGTCCCAGTGATGACAGTCCTGTCTTTTCTCCACATTCGTTTGGAAGCATGGAGTTTGAGATTTACTTGGTTTATGTGACATTGTGGGTGAGCCAGGATTCTTTTCCCCCGGAGCTGGTGTTTAGGTCTGTGAGCGAAAGACAAAGTAAATGATGGCTGCACGTTTTGTCTCCTGATTGGCATTGATTGGGGTGCACTGATGCCCTTGGTTAGCTGTCATGGGAGCTCATCTTCACTGATCCTTTTGCTCACACACACAAAACATGGAGTTTGATTCAGAAAATGTCTATTGACTCTTTGATTTGAGAGTAAACAAATGGAAAGCAAATAGTAATTCTCTGAGTTTCACTCTTTAGGGGAAATCTCACTCATTCTTGGGTTCCTAGTTAGAACAGATCTTTACCTTTCGATCAATTACTAGAAATTGAAGCCCTCACTGAGAATATTCAGTTTTGTTTCGTTTTTTTAAAAAAGTGTCAGAGCTATTCTGCTTCAGGATGAGTGAAATTTATATAGATAAGTAAACAACACCCAGAAACAATGGTAGAAGTCTTTGGAGGAGAAAGATGACAGAGCTAGGATAGAATCTACTTGTGACTTTGAGCAAATTACCAAAGCTAACATGGTGTCTTTGCAGTCACTCAGTCCTGAGTAGAAAACCTGCTCCTTTTCTGGTGAGCTATGAACTTGAAGAGCCCAGGGGCTCAGAATAAAACCAGACATCAGTCTCTCTTAACATATCCTTTTCCTCTGCCTCTAAGATTCGCTATTGGTTTACAAGATCAGGAGCCACTTTGGACTTGTGCCCTGAGACAAAGAAAGATGGAGGGAAGAGCATGAAGAAACCAGTCCAGGGAGAGAGGAGCTAAAAATGGGCTCTCAGATACTAGACAAAGGCAAGAAATGAGGATCTCAGTCACAAAAAGACAAATACGGCATAATGTCACTGTTATAAGAGGACTGACATCGGGGTTCGGGGGAGACTGAGAAAGATGGGATAAATAATGTATACCGCATTGGAACAGATGAGGGAGAGAACTGTTTAAAAGAGATATATGATTAGGTATTATTGTCATAACAGGAGTCCAGAATGAAGGCTGCATAGTAGAGTAGACTTGGGGGAAGGGACTGACTAACAATAAAAATTTTTTCTTCTACTTTTAAAAAAGAAAAGCAAATTGAGGGGGAGAGGTGGGCAGGGAGAAAAGTCCAAAGTCTCTGTAAACTTTCATTAACATAAACTTTCAAAAAAAGGGAAGTGAGGAGACTTAAGTGTGAAAAGAGAGAAGTCTGACTTGAAAATCTCCAAGCAGGTCCCGTCCACCTAGCAAAGCTGTGTGTTCTATGAGGTGAGCAGAGAAGAGTTTAGCGAGCCGCACTTCGTGGGAGGGAAAAGGGGAGAGATCCTCTCTTCTTCCCAGGCTCTGAGGTGGCAGGGAGAGAAGGGAGGCTGTGGAGCTTGTTGGGGGCCCTCTAAGGGACCGACAAGCTTGGTTTCCATTTCTTTCCTCACCACCACTGAGTCATGACCAGTGTCACAGGAGAACACATTTTGCCTAAGAATATATTGTAAAACCTAAAGAAAGATTTGCCCACAGAATCAGATAAATCTTGGATGTTTACTAGAGATGGTAAAGTAGGGAGAAGGGAGTAAATATTAGTAAGTAGATGTTTTTGTGGTGAGGTATCATCACGTTGGATCTAACCCATAGCATAACCTCCAGCAGGTTTTCAGAGGCAGTTTAATTGCAAAGGAGGAAATTGCCCATCTTCCTCTTGCAGATCAGCTGGAGGATTTGGATTACATGCCTTTGGGATCGCGGCACACTTTCTTACCACTAGGCCACCAGAGCTTTGCTCTGACTCAAGTGTTGCTGTTGGGGACCATCAAGTAAGAACCAACCCATAGCTGACCCTTCAGTGGGTTTTCAGAGGCTGTACATCGCACAGGAGGAGATTTCTTAGTTTTTGGTGGATTTGAACCGTGAACTCTCTTACCGAAGTTGGTGATTTCTAATTATATATGGCTGATTAATTTATAAAAAAGAAGCTAAAAAATAAAAAAAGAGGAGAAGTTACACAAAGGCGAAGGCAGACAGAGGAAGGAGAACACCATGTGACCGGCAGCTGCCCAGGAGTCCTAGGAAGCTGGGTGAGAGGCACAGACCACCTTCTCCCTCAAGGGCTCGGGAAGAATCAGCACAAAAGATACTCTCATCTCCCATTTCTTGCTGCCAGAACTCTGAGACAAATGTTTCTGTTCTAATAAGGCGCTCAATCTGCGGTATTCTGTTATACAGCCCCAGGAAACCTGTGAAGTGTTTAACACTGCTGCCCTAGAAGTGGTTCCAAGCCCAAATCTTATCCAGTCTCTCTCCTATTTCAAACTTTCAGTGGCTCCCAACTGCTGTCTGGATAAAAGCCGGAACCCCTACCTGTTGTCAAGGTCCAATACGTGCTGATCTTAACTTTGCCCACTTCCCTCTTCCTATACCATATCCCACACATCTATCTGCTCTCTCAGCTTTGATACATGGAGTGCGGCATATTCTCACCAACCCCCTTAGCTGGGCAATTGCTGTAAATTCTTCAAATCTCTATTCAAACGTTCACTCAGTGAACCTTTCCTGAAATTTCAGACTCCGCTAGACTTCCTGTAACTGAAAGCATTTGTCATAATTTACAATTAGACAGTTAGTCATACTTGGGCCTGTTTTTGTTCACTCAGCTCCATTCTACAAATGACACTTCTCCAGCTTCTTTGCCAACAGTGAGATCTAACTGAGGGGTGGTTGTGGAGGGAGACGGCTTCGGGCTGTGCATCTGGAATGGTTATTTTGTTCCTGGTTCTGGCCTCTAGCTATGAATCGCCAGTGGTCAGCACTGCCTCCCTCCCACCCATCATGTCCTTCGAGCACTAGGATAGTAATGGTGCCTACTGTTGCAAATCTCTGGATTGCCTCACCACGCTTCTTAGGATTTTTCAATTCTGACAACCCATCTGTCATAAGTTCCAAGTGATACATTCCTTTTATTCAACTACCTGGTATGGGTTCTGTTTTTAGGACTGATTGATACATCGGCATTGTCTGAAAAATAAGTTTCATGCTAGCTTGTAAATGATTAACCAATTGCTTTTAAAAGAAAAATGCACCACTGCTATTCCGTTCCTATCCACCATCAGATTTATGACTCACTACAAGTTAAGACTCTTGTTAAGACCTTTCCTTCCAGCTCCAAGGTCCAGGCCCAACCCAACAAGAGAAGGAAGTAATCAGCTCTTGGTTCCAGGCAGGTAATAGAAGCACCCAGCATTAAACTCTCCTGGCTTCTAGTCTAACTCTGATCCTGTACTTACATGCTTGCTAACTGACCCTCCAACTTGGACTCTGTTCAGGTAACCTTCCCCAGTACTGTCTTCTTCTAGGTATGCTTTTTATCTCTGGCCAGTTGCCTGGATGAAAACAGAGTTTTCTTCCTCGCTGACAGATGTCCCACACGACTTCTGCTTGGATTCCCAAGTACCTGCTGAGATACCTGTTGCCATTGTCTTTGCTCATTACTGCTCAGTGCCTGCCTAGTTGGCTACTGCCCGAATACATGCAGCATGGATGCAATGCTGATCCTAGACCGGGGACACTTCCCCAGCATGTGTCACAGCAAATGGTCTGTGGCAGGTTCTCACTTCGCTCAGCCCATCCATCTGAGATCTTACAGTGCTTATCCTGAGGAAGCATCTCCTCAGTTACTGCTGCTGCTGTTGTTGTTGCTGTTAATGTGGCGTCAAGTCACTTGCAACTCACAGCGACCCTTTGTACGACAGCCCTAAAATCTGCTCCGTCCTGTGCCAATTGCACTGTCTCTGGCACTCCCATCCCGATTACCCCAGTCACTGAATCAATCCACCTCATAGAGGGCCTTCCCCTCCTGCGCTGTCCCTCCACCCTCCCAAACATGATGTCCCTCTCCAAGGACTGGTCTCTCCTCACAAGATGTCCAAAGTATGTTAGAAGGAGCCTCAGAATCCTTGCCTCCAAGGATCGGCCTGGTTTAACCCTCTCTAGGATGAATCTGTTTGTTTCTTAGAAGTCCATGGTGTACTCAATACTCTTCTCCAGCACCACAGCTCAAAGGCATCAATTCTCCTTCTATTCTCCCTAGTTATTGTTCAACTCTCTGATGCATGGCAAGTGATTGCAAAGATCATGCCTGTATTAGACACACCTTAGTCTCTACAGAGACACCATTGCTCTTCAGTACTTTGGAGAGGTCTCTAATAGCAGACTTTCCCATAGCAACACATCATTAAATTTCCTGGCTGCTGGTGCCAAGAGTGTTGACTGTGGAGACAAGCAAACTGAAGCTGTGAACAATCTCAATCTCTTCACCATCCATTCTGATGCTGCCAATTGGTCCAGTGGTGAGAATCTTTGTCTTCTTGATATTGAGCCTCAATCCACATTGAAGGCTGCAGTCCTTGACCCTCTGCAGCAGGTGCTTCAGGTACTCCTCAGTTTCAGCAAGCAAGGTTGTGTCATCTGCATAATGCAGATTGTTGATAGATATTCCACCAGTCTTGACCCCACATTTCTCCTCATAGAGCCCAGCCTCCTGGATAATCTGTTCTGCAAACAGGTTGAAAAGGCATGGAGACAGGACACATCCCTGGCGTACGCCCTTCTCGGTTTTGAACCATGCAGTGTTTCCTTGCTCTATTCTAACAACTGCCTCTTGGTCTAAATATAGGTTTCATATTAGCACAACTGTTGTTGTCTACCTTCGAGTTGGAACTGACCCATAGCTAACCCTCTGGTGAGTTTCCAGCTGCAGTTAATCAAATGGGAGTAGATAACTCCTTAAAAAAAACCAATCAAAAAATTCCTAAGGAGGAGTTCCTGCTTGATGTAAATGGTTGAGCATTTAGCTACTGACAGAGAAGTTAGTTGTTCAAATCCACCCAGGGGCACCTCAGGAGAAAGGCCTAGCAATCTTCTGACAGATTATAGCCACTAGTCCAGTTCTACTTTGACCCACATGAAGTTGCCATGAGTCACGGTAGACTATGTGGCAGCTGATTTTGGGTTTTGGTTTAAACTCTTAAGGGGGGTGGCCAACATGGGGGACACTTACGTACATGGTGATCGTGACTGAAGAGGTGACATTGTTGGTAAGGAAAGTGACCTCGATGTCTGTGTCCTTGTTTCTTGTTTCCTTCAAGCGAAATTCCACAAGATTGTGATACACTAGGAAACCAAACCACAGCCAGGGTGAGAGATCAGTTGGTGCAAAGAGCAAAAAACCACCGAAGACTTCCAGTGTGGGCAGAAACCAAGCTTCTACCTCTTAGTAGCTTTGTGATCTGGAACAAATAGATTATTCCCTTATAGTCTCAATTTTCTCAAGTGTAAATGGGGTAAAAATATAGTAGATACATTGTAGTTCTGTTTGAGAATTTAGTCAGTTAATATGTGGAAAAGACTTAGAGCAGTGCTTGACCCTATAAAACATCTGATAAATGTTGGGTTTTATTATTGATTCTAATGTTAGAATGTCTCACTTTTTCCTGTTTAGTAAGATTATCGTTGCAAAGAGACAAAAAGTCCGTTATTACACTAAGTAATACAATGGAATGTTATGCAACCCTGAAAAAAATCAAGAATTCATGAAACACTACATAGCATAAATGCATCTAGGGGACGTTGTTGTTGTTGTTGTGTACCGTAGTGTCAGAACTGACCCATAGCTGACCTTCCAGTGAGTTTCCTGAGGCAGTTAATCACATGGGAGGAGATTGCCCCTCCTTCTCCCATGGAGCAGCTGGTGGCCTCGAACCATGTGCCTTTGGGACTGCAGCACAGTTTCTTGCCACTAGGCCATCAGAGCTCTCTCTAGAGGATATTATGCTAAGTAAAATAAGACAGTCACAAAGGACTCTAATATTATAAGATCTCTATTACAGAAAGCTAAGGGAAGGTTTACTCATGAAAACCATTTTCAGATGGTTACCAAGAGATGAGAAGGGAGGGAAAGAGGAGTAAAAATTAATAAATATATAAGCTGAGTGAAGGGAAAGGCAATATAAAATAAAGGGTTGATCAGAAAGTGTGATTAATGAATGATATTAATCAATTGGAGTCTTGTGGCCTAGTGGTTAAGAAGCTGTGCTGCAATCCCAAAGACACGTTATTCGAGGCCACCAGACACAAAGAGAGAGGATGGGCAATCTCCTCCCATGCAATTTACTGCCTTTGAAAACCCTCTGGAGTCTCTCACAATGAGCCATTGGTGGATTTGAACCCCCAGAGAGACATCATCAGTGGGGTTAGCAGGTTAGCAAGACAACTCCATATAGACTAGGTCACCAGAACTCAGTTCCACTATGTGCAGGAGAAAAACGGATGCTCTCAGAAACTGTATAATTCCCTCACAGGGAGTGTGGAGTGAGTGTGAATCATGGTGAAGAGGATGTAAATCTACATTTTTTTAAAGAATGTAAGACATAACTAGAGGAACAAGAATGAAAAACAAGACGTTGGACAGAAATCAAGCAAAGAAGGATCTAGAAGTTTACACCAAGCTATAGAACAGTTAAGATGTTCAGGATTTACTATTGGATTAATTGATCCAATAATGTTGAAGATTCCCATTCTTCTCAGAGTCAGCCACAGTTTGTTATGATCCACACAGTCAAATGCCTTTGCATAATCAATGAAACACAGATAGACATTCTTTTGGTAT